GTGCAAGTTGGACCTGTGTCTAGCTTCCGAACTCAATTTCAAAGCAGATCTATGTCCACTTTTCTAACTCAAGTGCCAAGCAGTCATGTGTCTACATTTTTTACTCTAGAGCAAACCGTACCCATGTTCCCCTTTTTGAGTCTACTACAAAACAGACATGTGTCCACCTTTTTGACTAGTACAAACCGGACCTGTGTCTACCTTTGTGACTCAGTCTCAAAGCGGACTTGTGTCCGTCTTTCTGACTCTAGTACAAAGCAAACCTGTATCCATCTTTTTGATTCAAGTAAAAATCACACTTGTGTTCACTTTTTTGACTCAAGTATGAAACGGAACTATTTCCAGTTCAAACCGGTCCTGAGTTTACCTGTTCGATTATATTGTAAACTAAGCCTATGTCTACCTTCTTATAGATTCGTTTTGATTTTTGTACTCTAAGACTTATATTTGGTATTATAAATAACCCATCCAGGTTGATGTGTTAATAATTTACCAACCTATTCTAACCAAGGATATTTTTCTGTCCAAATGTGATTGCTTGGAATATGCTAAGTAAATTAAAATTAAATTTTCTGCTTATATAACCCGAAAACTTGTAAGTAACCAGAATAAAAATACAATATTCACCTATGATATTAGATTATTAATAAAAGAAATAATTAGATATTTTTAGAACAATTAAACTTCTTAATGTTGTCGCTACACCATTTTAGCTAATCGATATTTCAATTTATTTGGGTGGGGGGATGTATTCAAGTTTTCTTTTGAATAATACACCTTTTTTTAATCATTTCACCGTAAGATAGGCAATAAAGCCACTGAGACGCAAGAGGTTATTGAGTGTGAAATATGAGAAAAATAAAAAGTATTATTAAGTAGAGAGACCAATAAAAAAAACAGGAAGAAGACAGAAGATAACGATTGTATTTAAATTTTGGAAGATCAAACTTGACTGGAAAACAAGAAGCCGGAATAGATTTCCAGAAGCGAGAAGTGCGAGAGAAGAAACTGTTACCATAGATCCTCTGGTTACATCTAGCTCTGGTTACATCTAACCATTTCAACTAATATGATGAGACTTAACTGCCAATCTAGCACTGCGCTTACATTTGTAAAGTCGAAATACCAAAGAGGAACGCTCATCAGAAGAATTACCATATTTGCAGAAACGTTAGAGGGAAAATATTTTACGGCGTTGGAGAAGTGACTGAAAACAAAATGCCAGCTCAGGATCGAAAATATTGCAGTTTTTTGGGGTTTTTTTTTTTTTTTGTATGTTAAGAAGAATCAATGCCTCCTACTCCCCCCAGGAGGCATAGAAGGCACTTGTGGAGTAATGGATAGCGACTTGGATTGAAGGATCGGAGAGCCGAGTTCGAATTCCAGTCGAGTTCATTACATTCACTTACGTGCTAATACCCTTGGGAAAGGTGTGAATCCTCTTCTTCTCCCTCCAGCTATGGGTAAATAACAGGACAGACTGGGTTCTATAGCCTTGGATGGCAACTGGTCTAGGAGAATGAAAACTCTGAATTCAAAACCTGCGAAGGGTCGTTTGGGGACCTTGTGGCACGTAGTGAATCAGGTCTTTGTTTTCGGCCCTTCAAAAAGGGTGGATGGTCCTGCACGAAACCTTCACCACTATAATCAAATCATATATGCTATACATGCGGGTTGGGGACCGCTTGTGAATTCCAAATTCCCATGAAACTCCAATATTGGAGCCGGCTCAACCCACCTCGGGTGAATGCCGTTACAAGAACAAGAGAGAACTATCCCCCAGGCCCTGTTCTGACATTCGTTTACACAGTGTTTCACATTTTCTCAACATCCTACTGTAGGACCACTGCTCTGTTGCCTCAAGATTATTATTCATCTGTAAGGAAATACTGCCGTTACAACACCAAAAGCACGAAGAATTACATTATCCTGGTCGATTTTCGACAATTCAATGCGTCCAGGATTTTTTAATTCCAATTTTTTTTATTGGACACCCAGTGAAGATCAATCTGGCTTGTGATGGTGAACGAGACTAGCAACGCTAATCATTACCCACCTCCCTTCTCAGGTGTCTAATAAGAATTAGTAGAGGTGTCCTAATAAAACAGATTTGTTCTACTATATTTTATCCAATACAAGGCTCAAGAGCAACTCAAGGTAGAGGTTACTAACTCAGGTAGTTGCCGAGGAATCAAAACAGCATAACTTCCCCGTGAGTTGGAAACAGCATACCTGTACGGGTATCCCAGATACTAAGACAAGCTAGCTCGTTTGGGAAGACTAAAGCACTCATTGGAATAAGGAGGGTAACAAAGGCGGTCCAGGGATGATGTAACACCGCTACTCCCCCCCCCCGCATTTATTATAGCGTTACTTTAACACTATAGTGCTAAGCAAATAACTGCAGGGGGATCAGATGTCATCACATAAGAAGTAAAGAGCAGGATTCAAATTGAATAGGTGTAAGTTGTAACAAAAAGGTAACATACTTAACGTAAGAAATAATTGACATGTCTATGGTGCATAATGAGGGAAGATGGCTTGGAAAATCTGATACTCACAGGGCAGATTGAAGGCAAGAGGAACAGAGGAAAACAACGCATAACCTACTCAATGATCTTGAGTAAATAGAGAGATAACAAAAAGAAAGATAAGAAAAAGACAAAATTTATTAAAAGATAAAAAGGAAAGGAAACTGTGGAGAGCTATGAACGCCAATGTTTTCCAGTCAAGTTTGATCTTCCAAAATTTAAATACAATCGTTATCTTCTGTCTTCTTCCTGATTTTTTTTTATTGGTCTCTCTACTTAATACTTTTATTTTTCTCATAATATTTCACACTCAATAACCCCTTGCGTCTCAGTGGCTTTATTGCCACTTTATTAAAAAAAGTAGAAAGTCAAAATGGCTTCTATCTAAGCGAAAAGTGGGCTTTAAATTAGTAGCAGAAGAAAACAAGAATTAAATTTAAATTGCCATAACTATGTTTATTTCTATTTCTCTCCTTAGCTACTGTAGCCTTCTTCTAAATACAAACGTAGAAGATTCCATTTGCCATTCCCCAAAAGCTTTTTTTTACGAAGAAATTGCTTATCTTAATTTTTACCAAGAGAAATGAACTCTAGATAAACAAGTAGTAAAGAGGTGCATAGAGATATGCCAACTGATAATTCATTCAAAATATTTTCAGATATCTAGCAATGAATTATTTTCAGATATCTAGCAATGAATTATTTTCAGATATCCAGCAATGAAAGGCGACTTAGGGAAAATAAATGTATATTTTCATTTTTTTGTTTTCATCTTTTTTGTTAATTGTGGAAAAATATATGCAGGTTGAACCAGAATTTGAAATCGCTTTCACCAATTCAATTCGGTAGACCGTTACACTCCGCTGGGCATCAATTAATTCATCAATATCGGCTTCATTCTTTCAGTAACTCTTATTTCAATTCCTGACCGCGGACAATGAAATTGCTTTTGTTTTTGCAAGGCACAATATTCTGACTTAGGGCCAAATTTTTATGCAACAAATTTGTTAACGAAACAATTAAAAAATCAATTCTTTCTCACCAATCTTTTTTCCATCTGCCAAAAATAGTACTGATTATAAATCTCATGCAACAACCTGGTGGTGGAGACAATGTAATCAATTGGAAGCGATGACAATAACTGATATTCCTTGACATACTCACATGAAGTTGAAAGTCTGTTCACATTTTCACAAACACAGAAAATACCACTGCATCAGTATATATATATATATATATATATATATATATATATATATATATATATAGAGAGAGAGAGAGAGAGAGAGAGAGGGAGAGATTCCGACGTCATTTGTTTACATTTGATACGCCATGAGCAAATATGAATGTACGTGAGAAGATTGAAGTTCAAATACAGTAAATTCGACCTTGCTAACCGAACGCTCCTCTGTGGCCCAATCGGTTAAAGGCACGTCAAGCTAAATGATTGTTCCGTATAGGATACAGGTTCGAATCCTGTCGGAGGACGAATATTTTCTGTGAAAATTTCTCAGACATTCAGGACGGTAAATGTTGTTAATACAGTTTATTATAAACAGAACATTTACTTAAATATTTGCATCTATAAAAAGAATGTATAAACATAAAAATGTCTTAAAATATTGTCCATTTCATAAGGCCAGGCGATTGCATATAGCATGAAACAGACTGTCGCCTCTAAGTGTTGACTTCTATGTTCACTTTTATATTTACACACGCTCTATCTCTGATATTGAGCACTTTATCCCATAAATATAGCACACCTTAAGACTATATATATATATATATATATATATATCCATTCACGACCATAATTTTAAGACAGTAAGATTCCCTATGATTCCCTAATAAACAATGTTGTCGACCACTGTCACAACGTCTACCCAACACAGGATCACGTGAACAGCATCGGTCTTTGATAATGTCTTTTCGTCAAAGTCGTCACACATACCTATCATACCTAAAGGTGAAACAATTTGCGTATTTTCTGATGTCCCACTACAGTCCACAGAACATGCAAGAGTTCTAGGTATATTGATCATCAGGACGTTCAGTATATTGTGGATTTCCAGACACGTGACCGTAATCAGACTGTCCCAATTGCTTGCTGTATACACAAAAATCGATTGAACAAACAACACAATATCAAAAGTCACATTGAACTGTTTATTCCTTTTTCAGGCAGCGGTCTGTATGATGGGGCATCTTGAACACTCAAATCAGGACAAACAACCGTTTATATATAATCTGATACTTTGATAGGTCTCAAAAGCATTACTATAAACAGGCTTAGGTATCAGTATTTTCTAGTGATTGTCAAGCCATACCCGCAATGCATACTATTCAACTCTTTTTATAAAAAGGACTGTGTTTTCTAATAGACAGAAACGTACAGCCTAAAAATACTACAATTCAGCTGTATGCAAACAGACACGCCTTTATCCAAATATAGCAGGCATAATATGAGTAATGTATTATCTATGTATATGCGTAAATGATACGTACACATTTTTCTTTCCTTCACTCTTACCTATGTTTTTAGCGCAACTCAGAGTTTCATGATTACACAATTTTTTAGGCACGAATTGGGAATTAGCTATTTAATTCATACCCGTGTTATAATTTTTGTATAAATAATTATATATATATATATATATATATATGTGTGTGTGTGTGTGTGTGTGTGTGTGTGTGTGTGTGTGTGAAAAGTGTATATAAATATAAATAAATATATATATGTATAATTATTTATATATTATATGCATAGTACTTATTAAAAGCGCTCAGTATCAGAGATAGAGCTAACATATTTGGATGGATAGATGTGAGTTTGGGACGATCGCTAAAGCGTGAAACCCAGGGTCACAAGCTCACATCTATCCATCCAAATATATATATATATATATATATTATTTATTCAAAAATTATAACATAGGCATGTTATAAAATCACTACAAAAATAGCCATTTTGTTTTAACATTTCTGGTGTCCTATCAAGTGATGCTGTTGAATGTAAAAAAATTCTTTATATCTACATTCAACACCATGACTCAAAAAACACCCGTATTAAACAGTTAATTCACGATTTGTGCCTAAAAAATTGGGTAATCATGAAACTCTGAAACTCTAAAAATGTAGGTATATATATATATATATATATATATATATATATATATATATATATATATAAGAAGAGAGATAAGGAAAGAAAGATGTGCACGTATCACTCACACAGATACATATATAATACATTACACATATTATGCCGGCTATATTTGGTAATCATGATGCTCTAAGTTGCAATGCAAATGTAGGTATATGTGTATTTATTATTTACATTAATTGGACTGTTACCCTCATATTGCCATATTCAAAACGTTTCGGCCATTGTAAGCTCCAGCCTTCTTCATTGCCATATTCACAACGTTTCGGTCGTTGTACTCTCCGGTCTTCTTCTTTCAAGCCGGAGCTTACAACGACCGGAACGTTGTGAATATGGCACTGAAGATGAGGATAAGTCCGAATAATGTAAATAAAATAATACCTTATCTCAGTGATATAGACAAAATAGTGTATTTATTAAAATATACTTTATACCTATGTTTAACTACTGCGAGCATTGTTTAGTTTACACCTTGCTCTTCTGTATATGTACGCTGTCACACGCATATATAGTCGCTCATATTTCGTTATTTAGTTTATGTTCGCACACATATACATGCACACACACAGGCACACGCCCCCCCACACACACACATATATATATATATATATATATATATATATATAGATAGATAGATAATATTAGTGGTAAATATACATTGGATCGTATTTACGATTCCAATGGAATAAATTATGACCATGGAATATTAGTGTTTAAGCCTTTTTATATATATATATATATATATATATTAATTAAATATTATTTTTAGCGGATACTCGTATTTCAGTAGACGCTCCGTTTATATATGTTTGTCTAACGGACTCAGTATTTCTGAAATCTTATTAGAGAGAAATATGTGGTCTCCGGCAGGATTCGAACTTGTGTACCCCTTGGGAAAACTGTCAGCAGATCTGACGTGCTTTGTAATTCTCAGCTCTCGGCGGCGATAATCAAGCAAAAAGAGGTCCAAATTACGTCAGCCGAATGACGGTTTTCTTAATGATGGTTTTCCCGGTAAGGGCATATTTTCCTCTAATAAGATTTCCCAAATAGTCAGGCCGGTAAATGAAAATAAATAAACAGGGCTTCTACTAAAATACGAGTATCCACTAAAAATATCGTTTAATAATCTGTGAAACTAATAAATAAAAAATCCATTCTTTTCTTTAGAAATACATATATATATATATATATATATATATATATATATATATATATATTATTGTGGATTCCGGGATGTAATCCTGTCTCAAATGAATGACAAACGCAGAAATGAAATATAGCAAATAAATGACGTAATAATACAATTGGTAATACGGTTAGTAGATCCAGAAATGTGGTTAGTAGCAATAATAATATATATACAGTCGGGGAAATTCAGTTTCGAAGTATGACTTTCTTCTGAGTCTACGTGCTCGCAACTGTGATCCTACAAAGCGGTTACCACACACTCTCACTCTCTAACTCTGTCACTTCCGGGTATTCACCGGCAGCAGTACACCGGGAGAGTCCACTATGCGTATTTGTTTCGACGTTCAAAGTCGTAATTTGCATGTTTCAATGTAACAGTTTATTATAAATATTTCTTGCTTACTCTTATATTAAGCCGTTTTTTTAATTAATGTTATGAATGTTTGAATCTATATACTTTTAGTTCTTTTACATTTGGATCATATATATATATATATATATATATATATATATATATATATATATATATAAAGAAATATAGTCTTAAGGTATGCTATATTTATGGAATAAAGTGCTCAATATCAGAGATAGAGCAATTGTCAGGACTGACGATTGCATATAGCATGAAACAGACTGTCGCCTCTAAGTGTTGACTTCTAAGTGTTGTACTTCTATATATATATATATATATATATATATATATATATATATATATATATATATATATATATATATATATATATATATATATATATATATATATATATATATATATATATATATATATATATATATATATATATATTTTAAAAAGACTCTTTCCCAAGCAAACGTATCGAATTAAAAACAAACAGTTAAATCAGAATCTTTTATTATTTAATATAAATAAAAGCACAAATAATTTATGAAATTAAAATAAAATAATATATAATAATTACATTAATATAAAAAATAAAAAATAAGTAAATAAATATATGTTTTTATGAATATTTATTTATATAAAATAAATAATCAGTGTATATAAACGACTAAAACAATAAAAAATCAAGAATAACAACGTTCCTTTGCCATTAAATTACTTCACTTAGCATCCTCCATAGTTTTCCTTAATATCCAGTTAGCTTTAAAAATATTTATCACCGTTTTTAAATTTAATAAAAATTGAAAAGCTCATATTTTTTTTACTTTAATATGAATATCTATTGCAAAATAAAATTTTTACATTTACTTTGATAAAGCCTATCACAGGCCTAATACGTTGGCAAAAAGAAAGTTTTTCTTTTCTTTTATCTTTATATATATATATATATATATATATATATATATATATATATATATATATATATATATATATATTTTTACTCATATCCATTAATATGTATATATGTTTGACTATTAAGATGTGTGTGTGTATGTTTGTGTGTGTGTTTGTGTGAAATGTGCCCCATCAGAAAGCAGATTTAAGCCACTTTTTCCATATGGCTTCCATTTCTTTTTTTACTTATCGAAGTTGGTGACAAATCGATACCTGATGTTGCCGATACATATGCTCTTTACTGACATACTTACAATCATAAGAGACCAAGGTCTGGTCGACGAACAAAGCCAAGAGTAGAAGCACATTTCATTCTTCATAGTTGTGTTTCATCCTCCTCGGGCCCATTAGCGTTTATTGTGGACATGGATCAATCGCACGCTTTCCTACGTATTGCCTTTCACTCAGAACACTCTTAGTCTTCAGGAGTACGTCCACAAAAGGAGATTCTATTTCTTAGAACAAATAAATCATCAAAAGGAGTTTACAGTTGACACGAAGTCCTAAAAAATGGGTGTGTCATGGAGGAAAATGTATGAAGTACAAAAGAAACAGGAGTCTTATACAATACAAGGTAATGTTAACAATCATATATATATATATATATATATATATATATATGAATGAAGAAAAATATATACGGAAAAACAAACAAAAATCCTTATATGCAATTATGCTGTTTTAATGTTAATATGTCAACGTCGGACGTTTCGGTCTAATAAATCATCTTCAGGACATATTCATAAAATATAATTAACATTATCAATTCAACATGACAAAGACGATGGACATAAGAACAAGACTTATCCAAACAGATAACTGAAAGTTTTATAAAATATTTTATGAATATGTCCTGAATATGGTTTATTAGAACGAAAACGTCCGACGTTGACATATTAACATTAAAACAGAATAATTGCATATAAAGGATTTTTGTTTGTTTTTTCCGTATATATTTTCTACATACTGTCGGATCTATATCTATATATTTGCTTACATATATATATATATATATATATATATATATATATATATATATATATATATATTATAAGAGATAATGATAACATTTTGAAATCGCTGCACAAAAGCTTTCATATTTCAATACTATGATTGTATTTCTTCCGGTCGTTACATGATTTGAAAGGAAATTTGAAAACAAAGATCTATTTAGCGTAATTCTGACATTTAATTGGTTAATGAAGGCATACCCACAAGTCTATTTTTAATTCTGACCTTATGTCCGTCCCCACCCGCTTTTAAATTTCGGAAAAGATGTAACACTTTGCTTTCGAAATTCCTTAAAAACCATTTACCTTATCATCGCCTGAAGAATTACAATCATAGCATTGAAACATGAAAGCTTTTTTGGGTCGATTTCAAAAAGGTTTTTTATTATAATCTCTTAGAATAAAAATATAATAATAATATATTGTTCTACTTTGTATTGAGCACTTTTTTAAAAGTAAATTCTACGAACTGCGGATTTTTACTTCACCTCTTCTTTCTCTCATTTGGATCTCTTCTGACAATTATAGCTCTCCATATTTCTTCTGACAATCATAGCTCTCCATGACTCTTCTGACAATCATAGCTCTCCATATTTCTTCTGACAATCATAGCTCTCCATATTTCTTCTGACAATCATAGCTCTCCATGACTCTTCTGACAATCATAGCTCTCCATATTTCTTCTGAAAATTATAGCTCTCCATGTCTATTCAGACATTCATAGCTCATCATATCTCTTCAGGTAATTATGGCCCTCCACGAACTTTTTCCTTATTATGTATAAATTGCCATGACTTTTGAAAATCTGTTTTTCCTATAGCC